AAAAAAAAAAAAAAAAATTATATATATATATATATATATATATATATATCCCAAAGCATTAGTTCAAAAAATAACTTGGTAGCACTTTTTCATTATGTTTCTCCTTTACAAGTCCTCTCAACTGAATTGCAGCTTATTGCCTTCTGACCTGTGTTTTTCATTACTACTTTCTTCTGAGGTACAGTGTTTAGCAAATGAAGTTCAGTATCTTCTAGAACATTAAAATGATTCTCTTAAATATGACCAAGCTTGTACCACCACTTGTTTGAAGTGTTCTCTCAAAATTCCACAATTGAGTGATTCCTGGAAAAACAGTGAATACCTTCACTTATCTATTCTTTTGTTGTGGTTGTACGTTTCAATAATGCCATGACTGTTGTTCAAGATACAGACCCGCATATTAAAAAAATTCTATAATACTTTACTGATTATCAATTTAATTTATCTGAAACACTTCCCTAGAGTGTATCAATCTTCTGATGTCAAAGCTAAAAGTCTAAAGAATTACAGCATGAACACAAGAAATCAAGTATAACAACAGTTAACTACTAAGGTCTTAAAGGAATTGGTTTCAAAAGAAACTGAAGCATATAGGTGCTTGAAGATGACCAGAACAATATTCAAGAGAGCAATTTTTGCACTTTTATCCTTTCTCAAAAAGATACAAAAGAGAAGAAAAAATTAATCCTATTTATATTATGAAGAAACAAACAAAAGTTTTGATGTTGTCCATAACATCTATTCTTGGCAACTAAACATGTATTTTAAGTTTTCTTTTTATTTTTTAATTTTGACTCTGAAAGGATGAGCAGAAGTTTAATTTTAATTTCTACAAACTAAAGGCTGGCTTTAGTTCCACCTGAGGATAGAAAGCTCATGTTATTTTTTCAGTATTCTTGCAGTGCAGAGTGCAGTTAAGATACTTTGTTAGCTTTTCCAAACCTTTAGAAGTTAGGTTTGATAGTTCTCTACATAAAATGAAACCCTCTCCTCTAGAGTGAATGCATAATTTCTTCCTCTTGAATTCACTTACATGCAAAAAAAAGCTGAAAGTTTTGAAAAAAAAGTTGATGTGTGGTTACTATAACATTCAAGACTTACACAGTCTTCAAAAGCAAGAGCTTCCCACTCTCTTCTCACTTGCCATTGCTTAGGGGAAATGAAACTTTTTTCCACTTCTTATATTATTTCCTAAGTCCTGGCATTAATAGTGTTAAAATTCTAACTTGCTAGGAACTTCTGAAGACTTTATATATAACTTTCTTTAACGTTTTCCTCAAAGGTGTCTTGAGGTATTTAAGTCCTATAAACACTGAAGGCTAAGGTAAAACTTTTTCTGTGAAAACACTCATTCTCTCAGGGGACAGCAGATCACAAGTATAAGTTTTTAATGGCTCCTTTAGCCCACAAAGAAAGTTTCTGCTGTGTATTGAGACACATTCAAGAAACTGACAAACATTCAAAACATTCAGAAATCTTGATTAAGGTCTCTGAATAAAGGCAATAAATGAGCCACACAAACAGTCAAAAATTAATATACAATGCATCTATTTTAAACCCCTGACATTAGGGTTTCAAAATCCCAAGAGGCAGAAGATACTTACAACTGCGAACTCATCTCGATCCAACATTCCATCACGGTCAATATCACTTAATTCCCACACCTACCAATAAAAAGCAGAATATAGGGATGTTTGCCTGAAATGAAGTAGTTTCCTATTTAAAACCTCATTAAAAACAAATATGAGAACAGACTCCCTCCACCATATCCTAAATTCTATTAAGATTAACATAATCAGTTTTCAGTGAGCAAGATAGATTCATATAAATCATACAGAAGAAGAGAGATTAAGTTGGAGACAGAGTACACTAAGAACACCCCTCCCTAAACAAAATGTTAAAGAATGCATAACTGATACATTGTAGGAAGAGGCAATCAAAATATCAAAAGAATTTGTTTGTTGAGGGGGGTTTCCTGTGTTTTGTGGGGTTTTTTCCCCCCCACAGTTTAATAGTTACACCTGTGTGGCCACTCCATAAGACAGTATTCAATAGTTAGGTTCATCATTACCACAAATATTCAATTTGTAAGAGAGATGTTGCCAAGTGTAGCACAGTTACTATTTGTGAATTAACAATTAAGAAGGAATATATTCTTACTCGTCCTAAGATATCCACTGGCAGTTTTGAGTTAAGGAGTACAGGTTTCACCTTATCACCTGACAACAGTCCATTCACAGGATTTAGGCTGTCAAAAATAGCATCATACTTGGCCTTGTCTTCCAGCTGCAGGGGCAGAAAAAAGTATTACTTATGGGAACAGTCACACTCAAAGCCTAAGAAGGAGTAGTTCAAAATTCAGTGAGTTTTATTCTTCAGTTATTTTTATGGCTTCAGGTAACTGTTCTTTTTTTTTCCTTCCCCATTTCTAAACATGAAGAGATTTCAAGTGCTTTTATCAAATTAGGTCTTATAGCTCAAAGATTTAACATAAATGGTAATTTATCACACTTCATAAACTATAGCTACCAGTAGAATTATATTTTTCTCAGACTTATGTTTTCTTGCAAACCACATCATAGTTCGAGATAATAGCCTGATTTTTAGTTTACCTTAACAGCCCATGGTACATCACTTGATGCTGTTCCACTGAGTAGCAAAGGACTACTAGTATCAGTCTAAGGAAAAACAAGAAAAAATGCACATTAAGAGACATGGTTCCAACCTTGCAAAACCACTCCCTTATTTGAAAAGGTGCTCTTTCACAAAGTCAAGCCAGAGCTGCATTTTAGTCACACATATGTTATTTAAGGATACCAAAATTTTGAGTAAGAAATTTAAAATGTTTCTTCCATTAAGGACAATATACATATTAAAATTACACACAATTTTATATGCCCCACTAGAACATGTAACACCTTATTCTTACACCATTTTGCTCAATTTTCCCCTCCTGTAGGGCCCTATTGCCCGACAACATCACTTTCATAAGTGTTGGCATTTACAGCAAACCTTCCTAATTGTTCACTCAAAAGCAGTTCTTATTAATCAGTTGATATGTTCAATTAAAAAAATGAAATCTTACAAATCTTGGTGGAGGAACAGGCAAATTAAGACTACTCAGGGAAACATCCAATCCATTCTGTGCACAAGCTACAAGTCGTAAAGCCACAAAAAATTCCTACAGGAAAAATGAAATTTTAAAGGATTTATTATATGAAAATACTCAAATTTCAAAAGAGTTAAGAGCTTTTCTAGTATTGCCATGTATATAAAGGGTTGCAAATGGCTTCAAAGGGGGTCACAAAGTGACAGAAAGCAGCAGACAGCAACTGCAGCAATTCCTCCAGCACGGAAAAGTTTTTAATTGCTAGCTCCAAGCTTTTAGTAACTTCCTGGCTAGTGCAGTCAGTTCTCAGCACTCAGTTCTTCTATGGCAGAACAGTGAAAATTTAAAGTAGCAATTATAGCTTTTCATCTTGGAGGAACAGAGTTTATCCCACAGGCAGCAGTGATGGAAGGAGAGGAAAGAAAGGTACAACACGAGAAAAATGAGCCAAAAGTCAGGAAAAAAAATAATATTTGTTTGGTAGATGCTACAAGCTCCTTGTATGAAGCAGTTAGCTCTCCATGAGTTGTTATTTAACTATTCTTCAAACCGAACAGCAACATACATTAGAGCTTTCCAGTAGCACCACTGATACACAAGTCTGACTGCCATACTGTTCACCACTACAGCTTTGGAAGAACGACTCCGAACAGAATGTACTTATGTCAAGTCTACCAAAATTAGATAAGTAAGAATTTTGAAGGCTTTGCTAGAATTTTAATTTCTGATTTGTTTCCTCCAAGATTAAGAGGAAAAGTCACCTTTGTAGTAAATACAGTACATTAACTCTTAAATTACTTCTCAGTACATTGTATTGCACAGATACATGGCAGCTCATTTTATGACTGGAAGAAAAACTGAGGAGGTAGCTGAAGGCTGCTTAATTTACTGTAGCCTACAGTAGGAAGTACGTATCTAGTCCCATTTAGAAAATAAAAAGAAAAATACAAAAAAAAAAATATCTGTTAGAACAACTGTTGTCCTGAACCAGAAATGTTAACTTTTATCTTATTTAAGGGTTGGTAATGGTTAGAGTAACCCCATATATGATATAAATAATCATACCTGTTTGTTCAGGATACCTTTGCCATCAGTATCAGCTAAGTCCCAAATCTAAAACATAAAAATAATAGACACGGTGTTCCACAGCACTGAGAGGAAGCTGGCAAGTTCTCACTCCCATTTCACAATGCATTCTCGGATAAATGTTCAGGTCCTAACTTTCACAATAGCACTTACTTGTGATGAGAAATCTAAATATTGTTTTAATTTCCACCACAAGCTACATAGACAGTACAATAAGGAATGATACTGAATTTGGGAACTACTAGACAGCACAACTGAAAACACATTAGGAAAATCATGTATGCTGCGGTATCACTAAGTATTTTAATTTACACAGGATACTAACTGAAGCAAGAGACCGGATAATTAAATAATTGTCATTAAATACCTTTCCAAGTACCAAATCTGTTAATCCAGACTTTTTCAAGAAAACAGCTGCATCAGAAGCTAACACTCTTCCAGCATTAGCAGAGTCAACCTGGTGGGGGGAAAAAAAAAACAACCACCAACCTCGCATGACAAACTAGCTTTTGAATTGATGCTATCTCTTTACACAGGCTTTCAAAAAGCTAGCACAGAAGAATACTCAAGTTAACACAGTCACTTTGAGAACAATCTTCAGACTTTATTTTTTAAAAAATAAAAACTCCCTTTCATTAAGACTCATGTCACATTAGAATTAATCCATTTTGAACTAGCTGCTCCAGATTTAATGTTAATAGGCAGGCTTTAGAAGTTGATATTTTAAACTATCACTATGAAATTCCAGGTATATTATGCATATATATCTAGGACCTTTCACACTCTAATATATTTTACCATGTTCCAGAAAAATACATTATTATCCCTATCTGTCTGAACACAACTAAGACACAGGGAGATAAGAACTTTGCCTAGATGACCCAGTTTGGGACAGAAGCAAGGAAGGTAACTCAGGTGTCCCAAGTCACAAGCTGGCACTCCAACAGAAGCTTACTCTGAGGGGTCATCAGTGAAAGTTTAGAGTAATCCCACTTAAAAACTGAGGAAAAAATGGTAAAACAATCAAATGCCCACTGCTCTAAGTTTCTAACCATCGATTATGGCTGGGTTTCAAGGTCTCCAGTACTAAGTTTCAAGTACATACAAAGGCCCAAGAATTTCTCAAGTTCTTCAGTAAATAGAGAAGCCTGTTCACATTAGGCCATCATGCAAACGTATCTGATTAGCCCTTTGTAATCTCAGGATTTTCTTCTTGATGCCTGCAAAACATTTGCTTTGTAAGGACAGGGAAGTCCCAGAGTTCGATTACATTTAATTGTCCAGCTCTGAATTCACTACTGTTATGGTCTGAAAAAGAAAGCTCTGCTTGAAGATACCTTTAACCACCCTAGAAGAGGGAAATGCTTACTCCCTAAAGTGAAACTTATTTACACAATGAAGAAGTCGTTGATAGTTTGGGCAGAATATCAACCAGTATGCATGTCTCCCTGGATCAACAGGGAGATCATTAAAACAGTTAATTATTCAAGCTCCTAAGCAAGAACAGTACCTCAGCTATATCTTCAAGTGGAAGAAGCAAGCAGTAAAACTTACATCACCTACATGAGGACAAGGGAAATTGAGGAAAAGCTGCAAGTCTTTGAGAGCCTAAAGCAAAAGGATGCCTAAAAAGGGCACAAGATGGAGAAGAATACTGAGGGTATCTTTAGTCATTTCAAACTGTCAGGCTTCCTACAGACAGTAGCTGTACAGGCTCTACAAGAGAGAGATCAAATAATATATTACATTTTATAGATAAAAACTATATAATATCATCTTCAAAGACAGAGTCTTCCCACCTATCCTCCCAAGCTGAGAAGCCCTGAAACTCTGAAGAATTTGCGACATGATAAACATTTCAAAGGACAGGAAAGAGGCAACAGAGGTCACTTATTTTCCACACTTCCTGAACAGAAAGAGACCAAGAACAAAAAACGAAATCATACAAATCAACGAGCATGCACGGAAAACTGAAGTACAAGTACAGAAAGAATAACTTGATGCTAGCATTAGACTTTCCAGGACCCCCTTTTGAAGATCAATGCTTTTTGAGCACCTGCTGAACACTGAGTCATCATGGCTGTCTTTGAAATAGCCTGAGAATGACTAGTGAAAACTAGTGCTTCAGATGCACTGAAAGTTTGGGAATATACAGCAAAACACTTGACGATGATGATGATGCATTGCACCATTTACAGTGTCATAGCTTTGTGTTTAAACAAAGAGCATATTCAATATTTTGTGTGGAACACAAGATCAACCTTCCAGTTTCACAGGTGCAGCACACACAAGGTGCTCAAAGGAAACCGCTCCCAGAGATGGGCTTAAAACTAGCTTGTGAAAGACTGTGGAGAATTTATCATTTGGAAAGCATGCTGCAGCAGATGGAAGGTTGGCTGTAGACACTTCTAAAAATGAACAAAAAAACCTCAGAAAGCAATTAAAAAAGCACCATTTAATATGAAAGTGAAAACATCTTTTGTTTTCAACGAAACTAATATGATTTTAATTAGAAGAGGTTGTTTCCTATAATTGAGGAGTCCCTGGGTCAGGGCAATAAAATTATAAACAACACAGCCTTGTAGCTAGCCTGCTCCTCAGATTTTTTTAAGGTATCTAATTCAGTCTGGATGGGAGAGCTGCTCATATTATAGGCAAAAAGGTTGCCAAGACATCAAATCCCCTTTTCAGTTCCTGGAGTCGACCTTGCACATAAACACAGTAATCTTGGCATCCATCCAGAAAACCTCCAGCCTAGGACTTTTTCTACCCTTTTCTAAAAGTCAAAACAACACAGTATCAGCTGTGTTTACTTTGCATTTCCCCACCTCCAGCCCAAAAGAAGGTGACTGAGGGATTTAAGCAGGATTCTTCTTTAACCCAATATGGATGCAGTTTCTCTTTGTGAAACTAATTACTTAAATGTCAGCTACTTTTTTTTTTAAAGGGCTGATTTCAATTTCTTTACACATTACTGAGTCTTACATGCTGGGATGGGGGCCCTTACTAAGCATGAAAATACTGCAAAAAAATTGGCTTATGTCTGAATATGGCACTGAGATGATCAACAGTGTTTATCAGTTATACGTCAACTTGGTAGAGCTTTTTCTCTGATGTGCAAAAAGCAGTTTTCATAGCTGTACCTGCCAACAAGTCCCTTGTTGCAAGCTGTCTTTTGTAGGGCCAGAAATGATGAAAAGTCAAAGGCACATCTGGTGTCATTAGGTCACAAAGTAACAGTGAGAAGTACTTCAACTCAGGATTCATCAAGAATTCATCAGCAGCTCAGGCATACTGCTTACCTGCTACACTGCATCACATGATTAAATAATTTCCTACTACTTTATGACATATCTTTAAATTTATCCTTTAACCTTACCTTGTTTTGCAAGTCACTCTAGAAGAGGTTAAACAACAAAACTTTTATTTGAAAGAAAAGCTTCCCTACTGAAATGTTAAGATTTCAATCCCCTTCTAAGTACAGAGCCAAGGATTTACACCCATTTCACAACACACATTATGCCAGATGAATTACTTTAAATTTGTGATAGAACTGAAAGTGTACTAAGCATCAGAGCTATTTCAGGTGATGAATTTATTCTCAAGTTGCATGGAACACTCTAAAAGTGCTTCTGGTATGAAAGAATAAAAACATGCTCTACCAGCACCATAAGACAGAGTGGGAAATGTCTAACATTTCTATTCTGTAAATTGATATCTCCTTATCTAAGGCAGGGAAGGAAAAGGTTTTCTAGTGCAACTGGAAGTCTTTAGATACAGTACATTATAAAGCCACTCTCTAGGATAAATGCTTGCAGAAAAGAGTTTGGCTGAGCAAGTCAGAAAATTAGTCCTCTGGAAAGCCACTAACAGTAACATCACGTTTAAGGAATCCCTGTTCCTGTAGATTACTGAGCCTGCTGGACAACAAGTAGTGCTCCAATTTCACCAAGCTATATATTCCAACAAAGACAGTATGCTAAGTGACTTAGGAACCATTTGTGCTTAAACTCAGTTTATCTACTTTTTACGTCAGGGTTAAACAATAGCAGTCAGCAGGAAAAGACAGACAGGCATGTGGCAAAGATGATACATGACAGTGACAGTCAGTAGTATCGAGCTAGGAAACCTAACATGAAAAATAAAAAGTTCCTTGCCTTTTCTTGGGACCTTACAATGATCACCATAATATGAGATTCTCCTAAGGCTTTTAATCCAATGCCTAGAGATAGACACACAGTGGATCTGTCCATGAGACTGAAGGAAAACTATGTGAGGGTTATAAATAAAAAGTATATTATGATGTTTTATTTTTATATATAACTTAAAAATAAAATATAACATAAAGTCAAGTATTTGTCAAGTGAAGCTGCAAGAACCCATATGCATGCTTTCAGCATTCAATGACCTTCCATCCAAATTTCACTCCTTACAGCATCCTGTGAGCACCTCTGGGGATACTCCGAGATGCAAGTCTTACATGACACTAACTGCACTACAAACACAAGAAATTCAGCTTCACTTGTAAAAATGAACAAAGAATATATCAATACAGTATTTCACAAGAATTTACTCCATTCTAAGAGGTAACGGTCTGTTATAACTGTGATGTATTTCACACACACCTGGCAGTTCCCTAGCAAATTATCTAAGTAACCTTACAACCAATATTACATTTATACTGATATAGCTCAGACCTAAGTGTGCTATTAAAAAATATATTTTAAAGCAGAACAATTCTCCTTGAGCTTTTATTGTTTACAGTCAGTCATGCTGAAATCCACAGCAAAATAATATTTATTTTAAATACAAAGTTTTTCTCTCAACAAGAACATACATACCTGTCTATAGAATTTTTCATACACAGGATTTGCACTTGACAGCTGTAAAAGAGAGAAAGAAAATTAACCCTCAAGAGCCATATTTCAATTCCCCTCTCCCTGGATAAAACACTTCTCAATGGTCTTCAAAAAAGCATTAAGCATGTCTAATTCTGTTTATTCTGTAAAATGATGAGGACTATGACAGCTCTTTATGCTGTAACTTTTAGAAGACTAACTTCTTGTTTTGAAGTCAGTGATACTAACTCTCAGATTACTGCCAGACAAGTCATCAGGTTAGGCAGTATGAAACAAGAATTCTTAAGCAAGATCAACTATAGACAAAAGAAGAAACCTGAAACGATACAGGCTAGGAAGTGCTCTCCAATGAGTACAAAGCAACATAGTTGTGTTTCATTATCTACTGCACTATCATTTAGAAGTGAGTGTCATATGCAACTAGTCTGTAAAATTTTCAGATATCCAAATTATCTTCAGGATTCATAACTAAATCCACAACACTAGTACCAAATTAAGGGAGAGGAATATTTTAACTTAAGTTTTTGTAACTTGAATCCTTGCCAGAGAACTTCTGCCTTAGTTCCACTGCCATCTACCAGACATTCAGTGCTCACCTAAACTTAGGTGGACAAGGATAAAACAACTTCCTTGGAAAAGGCCCTTTCTTTATGAATTTATTTTTAAACCATTCTTAGAAACTCAAAAAAAGCCTAAAGCTTGAAACCATGCAAAACCTACTATTTTGGCCTACACTAAATACCTCTACCCAAGAGATTCCCAAGACATGTATTGTTAGGGTTACTTCTCTTCCACGATGTAAACCCAAGCAGAAAATCAGATACTATTTTCATGAAGTGCACATTGCCTAAACCAAAGATTGTGTGCATAACTGCATGCATTTATGCAGAGGATAACCCTAGAATTACCGCAATGTGCACCCTCGCAAACCCAGACAGAACAACTTCACATAATACAAGTCAATTACACAATCCATACTAAAAAACCCCAAACCACATAACTTCGAATACCATCCAGAAATAGAATTCTCCCCTTTAAGAGGAACATGATCTTAAAACCCAGGATTTACAGAACTTTGTACAAACTGAATTCAATCAGGTAGCTTCTTCAGCCTTAAAACTTAGAAGTTTGCATTGAAATATGGAAACCAACAGTATTCTAGATGTTGTCATATAGTTGTAGAAAACTCTTTACTACAGCGTGTATAAATGGTGACAGCTTAAATAAAGCCACATGCATTTTCCTATAGCAACAGCTAATACAGTGGCTCTTCTGGCTACGCACTTAGATGTTAAGAAGTGTTCATTATCAAAGAATATTAAAGAAGGGAAGCTTGGTAGAAATAATGGATTTAGTGTGATCCTGTTCAACTACAGAAAAGGCACAGTATCACCAGAACATCCTGAAAGATAAAATTGTAAAGAGCAGCTAGAAATAAGAGAAGAACTTTCATTCAGAACCTGACATCTGCTTAATTCAGCAAGCATGCTGCCCCAGGGTGCAGACACTCAGTTTCTTCTAAGAGCCACATGGCATTTCTGATTCTCTAGTTGGCTTCTTGTTTGTCTGGGAGGTTTTTTGGGAGGGAGGAGAAGGGCTGGCGAGTTTTCATTCATTTGTTGGGAAGTGGGTGGGAAACCTCTCACGTAGTGAAGACATTAAAAGTTACATATGCTGGAAAACCATCACTGGTATTCACTGCAGTACTTCCATTTACATAGCTTAACCTTGCTCTGACTTTGCTCTGGTACTCAAAGACATTATTCCAGCCATCAACTAAGCAGGTATTTACACATCCCTTAATAGCCTGATGAAATATATTCAGGTTTTGCCACACCTCTGACTACTGTAACACCAATATAAGAAACAACACTTTCAATCACTTTCCAGCATGCTCCAAAGCATACTATATTTTAACTAAAGCTCAAATGCTCTACTTCCTAACTCAGCTACACTTGAATAGCAATCTAGAGGGATAGTTCTCCTAATACTTAGTAAGTAAAATACTTGATTGTTTACTTCATTATAACATAAAAGTATTGGCACAGAATCAAATTAAAGCTATGAGCAGAAAACTACAACAAAGTTGGCCAGCGCAGGTGCTGGAAGTATGAATTCTCATGCATCATCTCTTGCCCAATATCACCCTTTGTTCAGCCAAATGTTTCGTTATTACAGCCAAACGGATCACTGTCACTCCTGGACAGGAAACATCGTGTTGAAGTCCTGCAATAAAAACACCAAGTGCAAAACAATCTTTTCATTCAGTACTTGGAGTACAAGCCAGTAATTCTTTTTTATTTTATTAGCGTTTCCAATATTCATTTTAACATCAGTATCATTGCAATAACTGAAATCTCCTGTGACACCAAACAACAATAGTGGTAAAAAAGTTTCCCAGGCTATTTTACTAGTAACAGACTTGGTTTTATTTCAAAGTATACCCCACAACAAAGCAACAGATACAAATACAGTCTAGGATATTCTCTGAGATAAGAAGAAAAATACTGCTCAAAACCTTTCAAAGTGCTGCTGTAGAATTTACCTGGCAAAATTCTTTTTATGGAATTTGTAACAAATAATTACAGGGAGTAAATTCAACTTGGTTTTCAATGTAAAAAGGAGGGAGGGAGAAAAGGTCATATTCCACAGCGTACAAGAATAGAAATACATTATTATGATTCCATTTAAAAGTTTATCACTTCATATGAGCAACATCTGTTCTAGTTATGACAACCTTTGTTACAAACCTATGAACTTTAGAATACTAACCTAGAAAATAAAACACACCCTCAGGGACAACTGTCTTTTTCATCTTCTGTCATCAATCAAGACTTCATAGCCCCATGTTGGCACACCCGCATTTAAGTGTAGTCAAATACTACTACCAGTCTGTCCACCCCACCCATCCACAACCTTCCTTTGCACAAAAAAGTTTAAAAACAAACAAACAAAAAAGATGTCCACTGACAAAAACAAAAATAACTTGCCCCTCCAACCCAAATGAGACAGAAGGGGAGAAACAAGCTATTTTATCTTGATTAAAATCCAAAATACTATCATGATGCAAAACTCTAGGATTCATTTTAAGAGTTTCCAGGACAAACGACACAATCTGGTTGTAAATATTCTTCATAGTCAACCAGCCAAAAATCAGGTAAGTTTAAGGCAGCCTGTTTTTCTTACAATTCCCTTTCCAAACAATAATCAACTTGTCTCCTTTCTCCTATCACTTTACCGTCTTATCTCAAGTGTTTCACGATAAAGATTTCTACCACTTCTCATTATATAACCAAGCACATCTCCTACATTGGTAACAAAAAAAATAAGAAAATATTTACCACAAATATTACCAAGTACTTCAAAATTCAGCACTTTCATTCCCATTGAACACCTGAAGTATGCACAAAAACCCTGCAGTCTCCCCTCTGCATAGATGTCTGCCACTACATAATTCAGAATGGTTCGATTTAATTTTCAATTCGCTACAAGAAACGTCTGCCATCTTCTAATCGGTACTGAACAAAGCCCATATAACATGAAAGAGTAGCTCTGCTGCCTTTTTAGATACAGCTACTCTCCAACATGGTTGATACAATATCAATTAATCAAAAAAATTAAGTTTTTTAGGAGCAGTCAGCCTCCTCTATATGCAAGTATAAACACACACGTATACTTGGATTTCCTCATCTTTCATGAAGGACAGAAAGAGGAACAACAGATCTCTCACTCCAGTAAAAAGAACAAAATAAGATTTTATCATTTTGCTGATCCCTTAAAAAAAATTAAATCACAGTTTGCTGGAGACTTCAAAAGCTTTGGCTCTACATTATGTATAACATACACATGAGCATGTCATTCATACTGTAAGTATTCACATCCTAGGTATTCCAGTAACAAGACGTTAATCCCAGCAATGCATGCATTAGACGAGTATCTACCTACCTCAGTCTCAGTTCTAATACTTGATGCTTCCCTTCGACAAGACAGCAGAGCGTTCTGGACTCCATGACACAATACTGAAGTTTAAACTGAGAGTTTCAGCTAATCAGGATACAAATTGTTGTTACATGACTATCTTGTTTACCAAAGCAGCTTATAGCTACCACATTTTTCACAAAAAGCATTCCATGACATCAGGAACACAAAAAGTTGCTTCCCTATTCTCCCTATTTCTTTACAGTCCTTCCCCAAACTGTGGCCTTCCCCTTCAATCACACCTAGGTACTTTTTCAGAATAAACCACAAGTTCAATTTTCAAGAGCAACAAGAATTTTTTGAACATCCGTATTACACCAGCTTTCAACAAACACCTTTCCCACGATCAACATGCATTTTCTGCATCTTCAGTTTTCTATTCTTCTTCCCTAAATGAAACAGGCCAGATAAGCAAGCATCCTTGGAAGGTCAGAAATACAACTCCTTATCTTAGCTATAGTTTTCCAACAACAGATGATAGCTTGTGGGATAGGAACAGTTCCCTCTCAGTGACGTTGCTCACTTGTTTCCAAACTAAAGGCAACCACAATAGAACATTCACTTGGTAGAAGGTTCCTTAGAAGTTCCACATTAACTTCACAGTTATGCTCTGACCATAACACTTACTGAGCAAATGCAAGTGGCAACAAGATCTTGCAGAATGGGTTCAAAAACGGGGAGATAAAAGCAGCTTCAGTTTATTTCTAAATGGGGGGGAGAAGGGAGCGATAATCACCTCCAGTTTGCAAGATTCTTTCAAGCATATTTGGTGTGCTAAATTTCACTACAGCTACACTGTTCTGAAATATTTTTACTAATCAGCTAACAGAACACAATTAGCAACAAAAAAATTCAAATTACTTAAATAGAGCTTTGATATTCAAATAAAGGATGTTCAGCCCTTTCAGACGCTGCAGCTGCAAAGCAATCTGAAAATACCCTAGACTCATTTGGAAATACCCAACTTCCTAGCCACGTTAAATCACAGTCAAACCAAATATGGGAAGGAGAAAAGAAAATCTGACACAACTGTGAGCTTGACTGCAGGTTAATACACCCCTTATTCTCTGCGTGTGGTCTACAGCAGAAAGTACCTGTGTACTTTTCATTGCTGGTGTAACTGATCTAACTGCAGCCAGTAACTGTACCCCCCACACTATCACTTTCACTTCCTCATGATCATCTAAACAGATTTAGAACTTAATTTGTTATGACTTTTCATGGCCCTGAAATTCCAGAAGTTAGAACCTACATTGAAGAAATTATCTTTAAGTTTGCTTGACTTTCTAAGATGATTTATATGCAATGCAAGAAGAAAAATATAATAAAAATAAAAAAAGAAAACTCCACATAAGTGGTCAACAACAACAGAAATAGCTTCCCCTATTTAACCACTGACATAAGCTGTAGTCACAATGGTTTTAAGGATACTGGCAATTTTTCTGCTTCTGTCAACATTATCACATTTGGTTTTAGTCCCCCTTTCACGTGATCAAAAAAAGTAAATATATTGTACAATGAAAGGATTACACAGCCTGTAAGCATAATATCTTGCTGTAGAACGCACCAGAGCAGACACTCCTCCCCTCTCCCCAAATAAAGAGCCAGAATAGCCCCTGCTTTAGACCACAGGCTGTTGGTCTATGAAAACTTTTTTCTTCTTCAGTAAGGAGATAAACTTTTTTCTTTTGCTTGAACTGTTGAAAGAGACACAAAAAATACTAACCTAACATTTTGTTAATATTACAGCAAGCTTTCACAGAAGGTACTATATATACTTCATAACTACGTATCTTTAGACCTTTAAAGACACATTTATTTTCTCCACATATTTGAAGTTCATCACTGAACTATTCCTTCTTTCCTCCAAATAGTTGGCGATTTTCTCAGAAGTCAACTACATAAGTGATTAACTGCAAACTGAATAGCCTTGCTGCCAACTTTTTAAGTTTACTTCTGTGGGCTTAAGTGATTCATGCTTATCTACCAGCTTTACTTTCTGTAAATGTGACAACTGATTATCAGATTGAAACATCCCAAGCCAGGAGCGTGTGCCTGCCTCGAGTCACTGCTAAATGAAACAAAAATGTACCAAGTGCAGTTTATTAGCCATCAAATCCCTAGGGAATAAGACATAGTCCTAACAGTATAGAATAATTTATATGAAGAGATTCTACCACCACCAGGAAAAAAAAAAAAAAACAACAAACACAAGCAACAAAGATTTAGGCAAATCTCACGATCACCTGAGCACAAAATGGTGCCAAGATTCTCCCAGTTTTAAGACCACCACTTGCAGAGCTCCTCAGTGTCAGGCACCTGTACAGGCAGTACACAAAACCGGCCCCCACACTATGGGATCCACCAAAAGAAAAGGTAAAATGACTTCCAAGTTACGTTTCTGTTAAAATAAGGAATTAAGCTCTCCCTCCAGGCTGGTCTCCTCTCCCAGCGCCCAACACCAGCCGACGCCGTTACCTCCGGCGAGCCGCTCCCTGCCGGCCCC